TATATCCATTCCCAGCGCATCGCTTGCTTCAACACAAGACCTCCGTGACTTCTGCCAACCGCGCAGCCGGTGCACACCCCAGTGTTGGTCGCAACAGTTACCAAGAACCATCACAAGAACCATGTATAACAAGAGCCACACCCAACCCTGTGCTGCTGTTGAGAGGAAAGGGTCCAGAACAGTTCGTGCGGAGGAGGAAAGCTAATGCTTCTTCTTCCGAAGCGGCCACATGCAGGCCCAAGAGAAGATGCTGCCGGCAAAGCCGGACCATGCCAAAGCCTGCCACATCGGCGCGAGCGCACAATCAGGGCTTCGACTTTCACACTCGCACAGGGAATTAGGGGTCAGGTTTGGGGTTTATGATGGGTTTGGCGAGCTAAGTCTTCTCTCTCTCTCTCTCTCTCTCTCTCTCTCTCTGCCGTTGCATCGAGAGGGTTTAGCAGTGCCTGGCAACGTGTGAGGCTCAGCCCTTCAGGCCGCCCACGCAGCAAACGAAACAGTAAGCAGCTCATCATCAAGCAGAGGGCAATGCCGACATATGCCAGACACACACCTCTGCCCTCATTTTTGCGGCCCACTCACCACGCAAACAAGAAACCTCGACTACCGCTCCAGCCTCACCAACCAGCTGGAAACTGGCCTTGCATGCGTCTTTGCACGAACTGACCGTTGCAAGTTCACCTTCCACCATCAGACGCACATAGAACGTCCGCGGCATCAGATCGGCCTCCACCACCCGAAGGGCACTCCACAGCTCACAACCGTTCAATGATTCAAAGACAGATGCACCCAACCATCGCGCCGCCTCAACGTGCTAAGACATCAAGCTTCGCCGTCAACGGCAAGGCACCAAATTTCTTGACCAGCGAAGGTGCCCTGCACATTCACCCAGCCGTGTCCCAGGTACGCATCAGCTGTTGCCATGGTTCGGCGCAAAGCCCACAGTCTCTCACCACAAAGCAGCATACTCAGCCCACAACTAGCAATCAGCAGCTGTAAAAGGGCGAACGACACGCCCATGTAAGAAAAAGACCTAATGCTTATGACCAATATTTTGATGACCAGTTCTCAAACGGAAGTGAGCCTAAGTCTTGGGGTTCAAAAGCTTGGTACTTTTGGGTATGGGGCGTCGCAAAGCTCGGAAGGGACATCTTGCACATCGTGTCGATGCTCGTTCGATCTTCCGGATTCCTTCCTGCCGCATCAGATCCAGCGCGAAGGAGTCACATGATAGACCCACGCCCAACATCAAGAACCAACCAGCCCGGACCCGCTACTACACCGGGTGCCCGAGCACTTCTGTCTTTCTTGTTGTGCCACCGTTGTGTCTTTCTTTTCTGTGTCACCTGTGTCTTTTTACTTCTTGCGAAGCAACAATCGCGAGCGCAAGCCCATTTTGCTAGCCGTCCAAGGCTGGCAACAACAAAACTTCCAGGATTTGAGCCTTCTTTCATTAGGGTTGCGGTCTGGGTTTACTCTTTTCAGGGCTTCGGCCAGGGTTTACTCCTTTTACGGTTTCGGGTTTCTTTGAGTTCAAGCTTACATTTTACTTCTTTTACGGTTTTGGGGTCCGTTTACTCCTCTTAGGGTTTGGGCCTTCTTTCATTAGGGTTTCGGTCTGGGCTTACTCCTTTTTAGGGCTTCGGCCTGGGTTTACTCATAGGGTTTCGGCTTTCCTTCAAGCTTAGCTTTTGCTTCTTTTAGGGCTTCGGGGTCGCTTGACTCCGTTTAGGTTTTAGGGTTCGGCTTTCTTTCAAGGTTTCGGTCTGGGTTTACTCCGTTATGGGCTTCGGCCTGGGGCTTCTTTCAAGCTTACCTTTTACTTGTGTTAGGGTTTGTGGTGGGCATTACTGTGGCGCGGCGGGTATCCAGACATGGCGAACTTCCAAGTCTTGATATAAGGCCAAGGCATGCGACGGCGTTCTTCGCACTTTCGATGCAACGCCAAAACCGCTAAAAGCACCCGGCCCCCACATGCTGCACCCATTTAACGAGACTGATACATACAGAAGACCACGCACTTCAAATACCCCCTGTCAGCTACGTGTAGTAGGGGTCGGAACCCCGATTGCAATCTGGGCGGAGGGTCTCCTATGTCAGGTCCTACCAAGGGGCCTATCGTTCGAGACTGTTGCTTCCGAACAATCAACCAACACAAAAGCGACAGCAAAAAAACACAAGTGACACAACAAAAGACACACAAGTGACTCCCCTGGCTGCTACACCCATCTACACGGACTAATCACACTAATCCACACTGCTGCCATCGCTGCACCCAGCCAGGCCACATCTGCACACATGAATCAGTCGGCCGCAATCACATTACGCAATGCACGGACAGGTCTAAAATGATAGACAAGCTATGCTCGAACCTTGCACCATAGGACCACGGATTGTCAAAGATTCAAACAAGTAAACACAAAACTAGCACTGCGCTCAGCTTCCGACCTCCTCATGTACAACCTTCCCTATAAATGGGCTTTGTGCCCAGCATGGAGATTCAAGAACAATCACGCAGGATGCGAATCAAGATGGCAAAACACATGTACAGTATTATTGGCAGCTAATAATAACATACGAGGCTTCAGTGGATTACCGTAGTACCTCGGGGAACCTTGCCGTTTTATGGTGACTTCGAAGGTTGCCTTGGGACGCCTTTCCGGGCTTGGCTTTTGGGCTCCCATAAGACCTAGACCTTGTGCCTCCTCAAGCGGAGCGCGTCAAAATTGACAACGCCCACGGCATCATGGAAGGATGGCCAAGACCATGGCCATCATTGCAGGCACGTGGCCTGTGCCACATGCAGGCTCTCGACAACTAAAGACACACTTCAGGGTTGAAATAGAAACGAACTATCAGGACTGGGGCAACTCATGGCGCGGGCATTGTGACACCTCAAATTGGAATCTGCCATATGGCATTCGCGACAACATATACGCAACAGCCACTCGCAAACAACGGGGTAAAAGCCAAAATCGGCTGAAGAGAGACAGTCGTAGGCGCATGTTGCAAGGGTATTGCTGAGTCTGGGCTGCGGCACCCATGCCCCTTCACGCTTCATTGAATGACTCATTGCCAAACATCTCATCGGGACCTTGGACCATCCGTCCTGAGCGCCTGAACTTCAGGCCTCAAGCTCAAGATCACAACGTGCTCGTACACTGCACTCGCCTACTCTCTGGCCAGTCTGTTCTGAGAAGAAGTGTGCGGTTCGCCAACCTGACAATACTGTGCGTGTCACAAGCAAAGGAAGATTACTGTGCGTTTCACAAGCAAAGGAAGATAGACAAAGTATAAGAATCAACGCACCTAGTTCCGGCTCACGCAGGGCAGATTGCCTTTTTCGCCTGTCGCACAACGTCTCCACTAGAACCTGGCTTGGGGGTCAGGCCGGCTTATGGACGTCAAGTGGGCAAGGGGTCGAGTGAGTAGCATAAATGAAGTCAGTTGGGGATCCTGGTAGGGTTCATGGTTGAGGCTTCAGGGCATAGCGATTCGGGTTACGGCTACGTCTACTACAACCAGTTCGAGCTCTAATCCTTCCTCAAAGAGTTGGAAAACTGAACCTGAAGGTCGCAGCCAGGCTCTCTCGACAGCACGGCAGTCCCAGCGTGCCTACTGCCTGGAGACATATCCGTCACGTTTTTGCATGCTTTAATTTTGGCATCTATGAGTCTCGTGTAACTCGTGTAGCTCTCACAGGCAGTCTTTGCCACTCATGCTCGGAAAGAAAAACCAAAAGCTCGATTCAAAAACCCATAGTAAGTGCACAAAGGTCATGCCGTATCTTTGAACCCAAACATCATAAATCTTTCCAAGTACAACCAACCAAGAACCGGTCTCTGGAAGAGGTTGCCCCATCCCCACCTTGTACTTCTGGATGAACGTGGCTGCCTATGTCGAGCGCAGCATGATGCTCCTGTACCAAGCTTGTTTTGGTACAAAGGACTGAAGATTCAATTTTGGTTTTTGGGTGCTATACAAAAAAGTACTGTGTAACGCAAAGGGAAGTACTGCACTGGACTCCACTAGACTACTAACTAGTCATGCGCCCTTCTGGCAGCTTCGGTGTCTCGGAACGAGAAATGGGCTTTTGACCCGAAAGCTCCTCGTGCGGTTGAGGGGTTCGTGTGTCGGGTTTAGGTTTCTGCGCTTACGGTTCCAGCGCTCACTCTCGGAATCTCCGGGCGAGGCATAAGTCCATACGTCTGCTGGGCGAAAGGGAACCGTTGGCCAGCAGCAACAACAAAGCCACAACTACACGTCCTGGACCGTAGGACATACCGACTTACGGCTTGGGGTTCAAGTCTTCTCATAGGGTTTGAACTCCATGGTGGATAGTGCAGGGCTTCTGGCGCAGACTTCAGAGGTAGGGATCCAAGGTTTTGAGGGTTCGCGTTTTCTGGTTTACGAGGTTCAGAGCTCAAGGGTTTCGGTCACCATAGACCCTCCCCCCGAAGGCCCACAGCTCAGGGATCAAGGCGATGTACTTTGGCACGCGCAACTCCTCTCCTGGATCGCTGCCGCATGGATGGCAAAGGCCCAGGCCAGAAGAGCGGGGTCGCGCATGTCACGCGCAAGCGCTACATGGAGGGGCCTGCTACCAGAGCTTCGGGGCCAAGCGAGACGACGGGAACGATGGCTCGGGTCCACGGCCCAAGACCACAACACCATGCATGTATCTACACTGCCGAAAATCATGTCCTGCAGTGCATGACCGCCTGCAAGCACCAACTGCTGCGTGAGGGCTGTTTTCCTCGCGTGTCCCTCGGAACGGCCAGTGGGCTCACATCAAGCCGTTCCAAGTCTTCCGTGGTCAACTGGCACTCTACTTGAAGAAGCTGCGGCATTCGGACAGCTTTAACCTTGCATCCGTCATGTAGCGTATCGTTGTTCGGCAGGGAGACCTTGCAACCGTGTAGTCGAAATCCGCCGTTGGCATGCCGACATCGACCACCTGCACAAGAATTTCTTCGAAGGCTGCTGTCGGGTAGCAGGTCACATCAGATCTGTAAGTTTGGAGCCCAAAGGCTGATGACCTGTACTTGTAAGCGATGCTGCCCTTTGCCTTCGCGACATCCTGGAACACACAATCTCCCTGTGCTGGCGAAACCCAGACACCCTGCCCCAACCGAGCACTGTAGCATGAGCCCTTCGACTTGAAAACGAGCTCGCAGCCCGCCAATTTGTCGGTGTTGAAACTGCCGGGCAGAGCCGCTTCCTGCTTGAACTTCACATTCCACCACTCTGGAAGCACCGTTCTGGCGCGCAACCAGGCGTCATTTTCGACGCTGCCGTCGTAGAAGAATTGCAAGCCGGCTCCATGCCCCCGCCAAAACTCGGTCTCCTGGGAGGTGTTGATTAGAAGATTCTCCCCGTCAGAAAGCCAGGTGACGTGCGCAGACATGGCACCCAGCAAATCATTGTAAACAGCACCTGGCAAAAAGCTCGCTGCGCCATATCCCTACGAGGATTATGAAAGCAATCACATAATTACGCCAGAATGCTGTGCTAGACCCATCCTTACCGGCTTCACGATGCAAAATCCGCCGTTCTGGAATGCATGATCACAAATCCACGGCAGCCCTACCACTGTTGTCCGATTCCGGGGCTAGAATGAAATTTGCTCTAGTCTCCAATGGTAAAGCATCTCAACCAGGAAGCCCAAGCCAAAAATGGCAATGAGCGGCAGGCCTAGATACCACTTGGCTTTCTCAAGTCTGTGCTCCCTCGTCCTACCGTTTTGCTACTGCTACAGCGGCTGTCTGACACTACGTCACTACGGATACATACGACGTCAGCCATGGACTTACAGACTCATCCACCTGCCAGAAGAGCCTGCTCTTGCAAACCCAAACCATGTGGTTCTATCACTCTGAATGATCTGAGGCCACTGCCCTTGCTGGATGTGCGATGGAACTCTCCGGTCTCATGGAATATGAAGAAGCCGTCCGCATCCTTCCCTGCAAGGCCATAGCTCAGGACCGCAGGCTCCGCGGCCTCGAAACAAGCTCTGGGGAGTTCATCTGCAGGTACTTCGCTGCAGCTCAAGGACAGATTGCATGTGCATGCATCAGGCGACCCAGGGTTGATGGTGAAGGACTCCCACTGAATAAGGTCATATCCACAACGCCTACCTCTAAACTCAGTCAAGGCATGCTCCGGCGTCTTGCAACCATCGCAAGCATAGTGAGATGCATTGCGGCTGGTCACGGTATAGACGATTTGCGGGGAGCACAGCGGCTGCCCAGGCGTCGCTGCGCACCAGCGTGTAAGGCTAAAGTGCTCTGGGTCGGGCACCACCTTGCACTTGGCCGGCGGCAAGGCGTCTGCAGAAGTCCACCTCATTTCGAACTTCACATATTTTCTGTATGCACCAAAATACAGTTGCCGGCGGCCATGGACAAGCATGGCCTGCCCTGCTCTGCAGGTGTTGTTGTTTGCATCTACCAGTCCTGCGGTGAGTCTCGTCACCTGGAAAGCGTCTCCAAACCGACAGAGTGGTCGGGGCACGCAGCTTCCAAACACTGCAGGGCCACTCCATGTGATGTGACCAAAAAAGCCGCGTAAACACCGACATGTAGTACCCGGCGCGTGGTCAGAGTGAAGAACACGGCAGGGCACAGGCTCACAAGTTCCAGTGGCTGATGGACCATGCCACGTGATGTCTCCTTGGAAGCCGTCTTCGCACCGACAGCCCGGTCCAGGCTCCAGGTTGGAGTTCTGAATGTTGCAGGGGGCGGGCTTGCAGCTCCCGCTGGGCACGTCTTCACTCCATGCAATCTGTCCAACAAAACCGTCCTGACACGTGCATGCCGGCCCCGGCTCGTGATTTGAGTTAGGAATGTCGCACTGAGCCGGCACACATGTGCCGCTTCCCCATGGGCCCTCCCAAGTGATCCGGCCAGAATAACCGTCTAAGCACTTGCACTCCAATCCTGGCCTGCCATTAGCGTATGGAAGCAAAAATGTATCGCATGGGGCTGGCACACAATAACCACTCGGAACTGGACCTTTCCAGGAAATGAACCCATCATACCCATCCTGGCAAGCGCAATCTACGCCGGGCTTCATGTTTGAGTGTTCTATATTGCACGCAGCAGGTAGGCATTCGACTGCAACGGCTCTTCTCAATCCGGAACGGCGAGAAAATTTCAACACCTCCTCGGACCCATTCATGAAGAACCCATCCGTACAACCGCAACCAGGGCCCTCCTTGCCATTGGAATGAGGCCCTCTGCACTCCAGCGGAAGGCAGCTGCCGTAGGAACGTGAATTCCACCAAGTAATTTTGCCCCCGAAGCCCTCGAGGCACTTGCATGCGTATCCATCCTCCTTGTTGGAGTTTTCTATTGTGCAGGTTGCAGGCTTGCATTCTCCCGAAGCATTGGCACCCGACCAAGTCACCGTGCCATCAAAGCCATCTTCGCACTTGCACCTTCTTCCGCTGCCTACTGCATTTTCAATGTTTGCACATGACGCGGGTTTGCAGGGTCCGTGCGGTGCGTTGCCTTTCCAAGTGATCTTCCCAGCAAATCCCGCTAGACAGGCGCACTTGTGGCCCGGCTTCTCGTTAGAGTTCTCGATCATGCAGGGCGCCGGAGTACAAGTGCCGATAGCACGGTCTGCTTGCCACACTATTTCACCTTGGTACCCATCCTTGCATCTGCAGCCTGGGCCGGGTTCGAGGTTGGAGTTCTCTATGTGGCACTCTGCTGCTTTGCAGCTTCCGTGAAGCACTGCACCCTGCCAAAGAACCTTGCCTGCGAAACCATCTTGGCACTTGCAGTGCGCTCCTTCGCCTACGCTGTTTTCAACGTTGTCTGCACAGCCTGCAGCCGGTGCACATGCCCCGCTAGCATGTGAACCGTTCCAGCTGATGTTGCCGTCATAGCCGTCCGCGCACTTGCAATCCGGCCCCACGCCGGTGGAATATGGAACGCCGCAGGCAGCTGGCAGACATTCACCAGAAGCAATGGATTGGTGCCATTGAACCTCACCGGAGAAACCGTCTTTGCACTGGCACTGGAGACCCGGCTTCCTGGTCGAATTTTCAATGTCGCATGGAGCAGGAGTACAATGGGTCACTCGGTCTCCGTTCCACTTTATGTCGAATTGGTAGCCATCCTGGCATGGGGCAGGAGTGCAATTGCCACGTACATCAGCGCCGTCCCAGACAATGTCTCCAACATAGCCTATGCTGCAGTTGCACTCGGGACCCGGTTTCCGGTTTGAGTTATCAATGTGACAGGGAACTGGAGTGCAGAAATCAGTCGCCCACAATTTCTGTACTTCCTCTCCGTCTGCATCGAGTTCACCCTGATAACCATTGCAGCAGCTGCAGATGTTGTTGTGACAGTCACACACATTCTTGACGGACTTCACCGCCACCATCAAATCCAGCGTTGTCGATGACTTCTTGCTCAAGCCTCGCAAGATATTTCCCGAGGACAGCAGGAACAATCAACCGCTTGTGCAAAAGTGGCTCATCGCAGCAGGCTGGCACATCCATCGCAAGGGTGCGTTGTTTCATCGGAGAGGAAGTTCATCAAAGGGAGTCATATAATAAACCCCAAAAAGTTGGAAACCGGATTAAGGACACTTAGTGCTGAGATTCCCTATACATTACTCTTAAGGATTGAGGCTATTGGGTTTCCAACTTTTGGGCTTCTACTGTACGTGGGTCGCAAGTCCAGCGGCTATAACCACAGTACTATCCCCAAAACTACAACCTTGAACACATCAAGGGCCAGGCCTCGAGCGGTCAGACTGCACCTCGTGGATGACGCGGCCGGAATCTCGAGGATGGCAGGTTTCTCGTCGAATTCAATCAAGGAGTGCTCCAGCGCGTAACGCGTGCAATTGTCTGGATCTGTCTCGCAACAGATCTCGATACTCCTGGCGTCCGAACAAGCAGTCAACATCCCAGGAGCCGGCCCCTCCTTTCTTCGCGAGCATGCTGTAGTTTGCTGATCTGAGGTGCCACCTGCAGCTAAGTGTCGAGGTCTGCGCGGACTTGGTCTTCACGTGGAGACGAGGCTCTCCACCCAACAGCAGCACGTATTTTTTGCGGTCGCTATCGGCATCGAAACCAGGCAACAAGTCTGCCGAGATCGCCCTCCTTAGAAGGATGGCGGCCATGGCTTTCTAGCTCTGCTTCCACCGCGCTAGAAACACACGTGGCAGCAAAGTCTGGCATGTCTGCGCATGACCAAACATGACACCTGCAGCCACATCTCCTGCTTGCAACCTCCACAGTGCGTGCAACTTCGAACCCCGGAGCCTTTGAGGCGGTACACTTCAACTCGGACCGGTTTCTGGATTGGCCTTCCCTCCAGTCCGGCCAAGGCTCACCGCCAAAATCTGGGGGTCGACGAAGAGCTTCTCGGTTGCAAACTGAAAGACACCAGGGAGCATGCCAAAGAGCATCACAATACCAACCTCGGCAGGAGACCACCAAAGCAAGCTGAGTTGGGGCCTAGGCAGCAGGGAGCGGGTTTAAAGGTTTGGCGTCGGGTGTTGTTGACCCAGGAGTCCGTGCGTTTACGTTATCCCTCTCGATGCGCCCGCAAGAGTCGGCAAAGTGCTGGCTAATGTCGTGACATGTGCGGCTTAAACTCCATCCTCGTCCGCCCCTGTCGTCGGTCCTGAACCCTGACCTATGCGACGCACTGAGGAAGTCCTAGGAAGATGCCTTGTAACCGCCCGTCCTGAAAGGAAGTCCTGAAAGCGATCAAGACATCCTCCGAAAAATCGAGAAAAGAGGTGGATAAAGGTTGTCCGAGACATCGCACGAGGAGGTCAAGAGGTGTTTCTCGTGTCTGCAATCGGGATTCTCATCATGAGCACATCATCCCAAACCTTTTGAAAATGGCGGCTACTCTGTCACTATGTCAGTTTCGCATAAGCGCAGCGCAGGTTGCGACATTCAGCAGCGGTGCTAAGCGCTGGTTCGGGAATAAAGCACGGCGCGTGCCCATCTTCACGAAAAGGCCTAGGTCCTCCGGCCAGGAAGCCAATCTTACAGATTCATGTCGGGTCTCATGCTTCATGCACTTTGGTGCTTTTCAACAAGAACCCTGCAGACATGTAGATGGGCGAGCACAGCTCTTCATGATACCGCAAAAAAGCATGTGCTGCATGTGTGTGTGTGTGTGTCTCTGTGTCTCTGTCTCTGTCTCTGTGTCTGCGTCTGCGTCTCTGTCTCTCTGCCTCTCTGTGTGTGTGTGTGTGTGTCTGTGTCTGTGTGTGTGTGTGTGTCTGTGTGTGTGTGCGTGCGCGCGTGCGTGTGTGTCTGTCTGCCTGTGTGTGTGTGTGCGCGCGAGTGTGTGCGTGCGTGCGTATGCACTTGTGCTACGTCGTTCGAGTTTAGCCGGTCCTCCCCGGCCAAGCAGTTTGCAACACCGGCCAGACGACTCCGGATGCTGGACCTGAAGGTGCTCAACACAGTGCAGGTCTCGGTCTCAGACTTAATTACCAGTGAGTCTGCCAGGACTTGTTTTCTACGGAGGTAGACTTCCATGGTGCCATTTTGGAGCCACAGTTTGGAGCTGCAGCTGGCGACATGATGATCTGCTTCAGCTTCTAGTGCATTCTTTCTTCTTCGTACTAACTGCTGGCATAATCATCACTAGCCCGCGCCCAAGTTCCAATAAACAAAGCCACCACGTTCCATCACGGCCATCGCAGAACTTTTTGAAGTAGTCCTTCCGTGGAGGATGCTTGAACTTCTGACTGCGCACTACGAACTGGGATGTGAGGGAAATCAAGGTACAAGGTTGTTCAAAGGATTCAGGGGTACTATCATCTAGACCATGTATGTTCTCTATGTTGATAACGTGATTAGCGACTCCTGGCATTGCAACTCATGGCTCTTGTCAAGGTGCCTACACGGACCTTTGGGGTTCGACGGTCTGCTGTACTGGCAACGTCCGACAAAGCTCATCAGCCCGAAGCACTGAAGCTCCTCGATGCTGATTTCTCCGAGATCCTCCCCTGCACCTGCGATGATGCGGTGGAACTGCACCTCCGCCAGGTTGATCGGTTTTTTTCGTGCTTGGCTGACCAGGCCGCACTGCAGGGAAGACACAAAAGCACCACGGTGGAGCACGTGCTACGGCATGGTGATCTGGGCCTCCTACCCGAAAGCTCAAACTCTAACTATTAATGAAACGCAACCGCCCTGCATGCCGACATCCAACACCCTGTTCCCCGGACCCTACATCGAACGCTGTGCACCCCTAACGTCGCCTTTGGTGATTCACATAGGCTGCGCAGGTTGAAGAAGTAAAGGAGAACTGTGGCACAGCTGTAAGCCTCCACATGGAGGCTTGTCCAAGTTTGTTGCTGGCCGGTTTGCGCAGGCTTTCGCGTGGAACTTGTCACACTGTCAACACAGTGGGTTCATCTTCTACTTCTACTTGCAGACTCTGACGGCCGAGAGATAAATTCGCTTGCGTTGCCGTCCGCACCACGTCTTAATGGGCTTCAGCTGAAAACGCGGCTGCATGGCGAATGATGTGCTCGTTGGATTGCATGGCCAACGCAAATCCTGCCTTGTCCAAGAAGACTTGCATGTCACGTGAGGTGCTGGCAGCAGAATCTGAAGATGCCTCCTGGAAAGCTGCCCCATCCGAAGTCCCGATAATTGGTCACGGAGCTAGTACCCCAAAATTGCGGCATATACCCTGAATCCTATTAGGACCCCTCTATACTTGAGTGAGCTTTTTGAGGAACCCCAACCATGCCGGTCCTGTTTCTTCGAGTTCTGTGTCTCAGTCTCCGTATAGATGACGAGCATGTACCTCAATTCATGAACCAGGCCAGCTGTCTCTGCTTCAGTCTTGCAGATGCCTGGAATAAGGACGCAAGGCAACTTCGGCAGAGATGACACCAGCCCGTTTCAACTCTGACCCTCGCATCATGTGACCTACTTCGAGCTACAATCCTGTTTTTGTCCGCAGACCAGCCACCTCATCTTCAAACCTTTAACCCTGTAGCCATGGCCAGCGGCAGTACGATCAGCACCAAGGTCAACATGATCAACGCCATCCCGAGTCCTGTTACGGAAAGTCGCTTCAGGACATCCCTGTCTCTCAACTCCGTGCATCTAACAAGAACGTAGTCACATGCGAAGGTCTGTTGCGTTTTGCTACAGGAAACGTTTGGTCCTTGGGCTTCGTATAATACCTGCATCCAGCATTCCTCGCATACCCTAGCATGTCCGAGCTCAATGCACTGTTCGCGCAGAACGGAGAAGACGTCTCAAGCTCAGAAGTCTGACATGCGGGTTTGCTAGTGGGCAGTGCAGGCGGAGGAGCTGGGCCAGGGGCTATGGCTCCGAGACAGTGTACCAACTCAGTCTCATGTTGGGGCATCTCTGGCTGACGGTGTTGATAGTGAAAACCGAAATACAAAACAAGAGTTGCGCAAAACAAAAGGATGATACAAGACATGCATAAACAGCTGAACTGCAACACAATTAGAACTAGATGATGCTGTCGATGCTGTGGGTTGAAGCAGTACTAGAACCTGTAGTCGCTGTAGTCGTATTAAGGCAACGATGGTAACATGTGCGACAATGAAGCATGTCCGCAGGTCGAAATTGCCGGGCTTCTATGCAATACGGCTAACTTACACCATCATTACGTAGACTTGTGCTGATATCGCAAACCACACACACCACATATCCATAGTTTCCCCCGCCTCGTGTGTCGCACGCTACTAATACGAAAAGCTCGTGATAAGCTCAAGCAGTATCGAACAGACCCTTATGACCCGAGGATTCAATCCAAACGCATAACGCACCAGCAATTTGCCCGAACTTCTTGGAGCTACTGAACTAGTCTCTTCGCAGTCAGGCGACACCTGTCTAACCTTGTGCAGATATACTGCCCCAAAACCTCCCCGGCCTGTTCGCTCCAGCCGGCCACGCATAACAACCAGCCGGTACCCTCGGCTCCACGCACTGTCGATGGCAAGGCGGCGCAAGTAGTCCACGCCCATAAACCTGGGTGGGTTGAGGGTGATAGTGTTGCAAAGATGGGATGAAATGATCGCAGTTCGTGAAAGGAGCATCCAGGTTTCCACAAATTAATGAATGAAGGGGTTTTCCAGGAAAAACGAAAGCGATTTTCGACGAAGACCAGGCACATGAGGCTAGAAAAGATCGCCGTGATGGAAATGGCGATGCTGGTGAGAAGGAGGAAATTGGGCGCCGACCAGTTGGCCCTCGGCTGGCTTGTGGACACGATCCTGGCAAGGAGCCACGAAGACCAGCTTTACTATGCAATATAGCATACTTACATAAGGGCCTTGAGAAGAATAGTACGATTGCTGTTCCTGAGGCAGGCTCTTGTATTGAATGCATACATGCGAGAACTCTGGGAACAAGTGTTACGAGTTCTTCGGGCCCTTCTCTCTGCCCTGCTTCCAACAACAAACCTCTCAATGGCCTGGCCATCACGATCTTCTGGAAGCCCACGAAGCCGAGGATGCCAGCTGCGTGGCTGGAGAGCGATGCGAAGATTGTGGTCAAGGCATACCATGTCGGTGGCGTCCATTTGACGCCATCAGATCCTTACCAACCAGTGGTCTGCGATCTTCACGTGACAGGCATACCGGTTTGATTAGCCTTCCGGAGTGCCTTCCCGAGCCCCTGCTGCCAACCTGCTCTTCTGCTGATGACAGGCTGCGGTCGCTCAACCTCTAAACGATCACTGCGATCGCACAGACAAGATTGGTCTTTGAGTGGTGTGAGAAACCTTCAGCCAAGATCGCCGGCCTCGCCATGACTAGACTTACTAGAAGCACTTCACTGCGAGCCCTTTGTGCGTGACATACTGACAATGAGAGCTATAGCTTCTAACCTGAGCCGGGCAACCGACCTCCGAGGTGTCACCAACAATCTCCACAGGTTGCCAGCATGCCTGGGAAGACATCAGTCGGAGGCTTCGGGTTGGACAGCTGCGGGTTTCGACTTCCGAGATTGGCTTGACACTTTGAAGCTGAAAGCTGAAGGGTGGACTTGAGGGCTCCAGGCTCTGCATTTTGGGCATGCACGACCTGAGTCCGCACCAAGTGCGGCCAGGGTTCGAGAGCCAGGGCGATCGCGGCAGCCACCAAGAACCAGACCAGATCCAGCGTCCTGTGGCATGCAGCACCCAGGGAGCTCAATGCCGCGTCATGGTGGAACATATCTTAACATACAAGTCAAGGTATCCATATTCAGGCATCCGGTGATGGGTACTTGCGCGCGGGTCCCTAGATCCCGAGCCATACCCCTGCACCCCAATAAAGCCTTGCAAACCATTCAAGCCCCAAGCCCGCTCGGGAAAGCATGGCAGCAATCTCACCGGTGGCACCTGCAAGCCGTTTGTAGGTTGCCTTGCTGACCCCAGGCCCTTCTCAGCCAAGTTCTCCCTTCCCCGGAATACTAGGCAGTAAACATTTACATCATAAATGTAGCACCGATAGAAGAACAAGACGGGGAATCTTTCAGTCTTCCCATCCGACTGAAAGACTATGTCGACCAATTATGTCCCCCCACTTGGGCCCCTGCTTGCAGACCCCTACATATGCACACCACCTCTCTAGAGCGACTGAGCTTCCGCAGGAGATCGCCAAAGTCACTGAAGAAGTCCTCAGCTGAATTGAAGCTGGTCCAGCGCTCTGTTGCATTCCGTCTTTTTGTTGCCCTATCTGCGAACGCTCAGCGGCCCCTGCTGCCTGTATGATTGCTGATAGGCCAGGGGGTACGTGGCGGCAGATGTGCTGTGAGATGGTGCTCGAGCCATGCGCTCCGTCGCTCCCAGTCCCAAGGGGCTTTGGGGATCAGCTCTTTGAAACGGGGCTCTAGGGCGGTAGGTCTGCAGGGCTGTGGGGGGTTGTCCAGACATGCAAAACGACTTCTGCTCTTCGCTCGATGCCGGCAACTTGAAGGCGCTGGGGCGGAAGGAAAAATGTCAGCAACAGCTGCAGGCTGCAACACTTTCGGGGGTCGGGGGGGAGGTCGAGTCTTCAACTAAACCCATCCATAGAACCTCGCCGAACCGGATCGACATCCAGTCAAACCAGAGGATGCCCTGCGATGCCAAGGGTCGCCCCAGGTCTCGCTGTCTCTGTCGGGCTTTGGTCGGCCCTGCTGCGCCTCATCCTCCCGAGAGAACTTTCGTGGTGGGTCCCGTCGGGTTTACAGGCACTTTGACGAGGGTGGGCATAACCTGCACGAAGGCTACAACGAGGCCTATCTTCATGAAGCAACGGGACCATTCCCTGATGCCCTGCGCATCTTCTTGAGGATCTCTGAACGCTCGCCAAGTCAGACTTCACTCGATGAATTGGGCCAGGGTCCATGATTCCAATGCCGGATCCGAAATGCAAGGATGCCCACCGCCCCCCCCCCCCAATTCAAAAGAGTTTGAGCGCCGACACCCTCAAAATAATTGCTGGTATCCGAGAGCACTCAGGTTTTCGTCGACTGTCGCAAGTACTTTCCACTTCGAAGATTAAGGGCAGAAAAGCCAAGTATGATCTTGGATCTGACCAACACACACCTCCGTGCACGTGGATACCTTCAACGAAGATTTAAGCACTCTAACAATCCAACTTCGACCAGTCAAAAGATGTATGATGGCCTGGAGCTTCGCAAACCCGCGTTCTGAGGCTCACACGACCCAAAGGAAGACACGAATTCACACTGGAGAACGCAGAGTATGAGCATGGGCTCTGACAACCCTCCCTCATGCCTCGCTTCACAAACGAAACTGCAAGGCCAATCGGCGGCTACACATCACAGAAACTTTATGCAGCAATGATACCAGCTGTGGCTGCAGAGACTCACAAGTTTTAAGAAGCAGCTCGAAAAAAGTCTTATGTCGCTGCTAAGTTCTATCGTCTAGCTACACAGGTAGTGACAGCCGAAAACGAAGCCCCGAACCAATAGCGCAAAATGACTGAATCTCAGAGCCCCTCACTGACCCGAGTATCCGGCAAGAGTCCCCTTATGGCACATAAAGTGTCGGGTTCAGGGTTGAGGGTTTCAGCACTCACAGCCAAGCACAGCCAGGCCAAGTAGAGCGTGGTTGCCTCCCAGGAAGAAGCGCGGGCAGCCAAGCTCAAGTGCAGGCAAACGCCGAGCACCTCATGCAAAGGCGAAGTTGGCTCGTTCAGAGTGTAAGCATAGATTTTGATGGCAAGGATTTGCAAGCCCGTGGGTGTAAGCTTTGAGAGGACGCAGGGCTTCTCATGGAGGGTCCGCGGTTTCGATTTTTCTGGACCGAAATCACCAAATACCAAAAAGATCACTATGCAATGTAATCCTTGCCTTGTAAAGCTCACCTGAACTGTCGGCTGCTTTCATGTTTACGCTGTCCATTTGGCTCCCCGTCTCCGTGCGCCCCCAGTACAGCGTGATCTCCATCATGAAACATGCCAACCTAAATTCGGAGAAGTAATGTACAGCGTGGTTCGCATTATATCCATTCCCAGCGCATCGCTTGGTTCAACACAAGACCTCCGTGACTTCTGCCAACCGCGCAGCCGGTGCACACCCCAGTGTTGGTCGCAACAGTTACCAAGAACCGTCACAAGAAC